GATATTCTTAATTAAAATGATGGTGAATACAAAAATAAAATAAAGGAATGTTAGTGACAAGTGACATTAACGGTGACGATGATGGTGACAATGATAGTGATAGATCATGCAAATGAATTTAATTTGATACAATCCAGGTTAGTTTCATTTGATATTAAATTTGTTGATGAAGTTCTTATGGTGCAACTATTATATTCACTGTGGAACAATTATGCACTTAGCAGTTCATCAGGATTTACTAATATTATCTTTAAAGGTATTCATGACATGATCGTGAGTGAGAATATTCACAGGAGGAATGCATGAGAATGTTCCAACAGTTTGTTTAGTACATGGTACAAAGACATGAGATCCAATAAAAAGGGTAACACTACACGAATATTGAAGTCAATGACGAATATTGAAGTCAATAAAGAAAGGTCCGTCAAATAATAGGAAATATATTACTTGTTAGAACTCTAACGAAAATAACAACTTCATAATCAATGCCTAAAACCATCAAATATGGCAATATATTTTGATGATGACTCATTTGCAGTATATAAATTATGGGCGAATCCTAGACTATGGATTTTAGTGCCTTGTTTCATGTTAGTCATTGTAGAAAAGCAACGAAAAATTTCAGGCATTGTAGTTACAAGTTGAGGCATTATTGTTACAAATAGTTAATTCTTGATTCATAACTATCCATGATCAATATAATTTGATCACAACCATATGATTTTTAAAGGTCAAAGATTTTAAATTACTCCTACATATGTATATGAACTATCTTGGGATTGTCGTTCGGTCCATACCGCTTACAAACCCCAAGTAGTGCTTTGGGTGTCATGAATAAACTAAAATATATACACAAAGACATAATATTTAACGTGTTTCGATCAAAGTGAACTACATCTATAAGGTAATATGGAGTATTCATATTCACGAGCTTGGAATGTAATCGTTTGGTACTATTGTAACCCTAGTTATTAGCATTATTATATAGACATTCGAACAAAAAACCCCTCAACACACACACACACACACACACACACACACACACACATATATATATATATATATATATATATATATATATATGCACACCAATTATTTATCCAATTAAAGTCGATTGTTAGGGTTTCTTTATTTTGCTTGGGTGTCTAGGTTATCCAAATCTAAAGTCATGTTTATCATATGCTTTTTACTTGTCTCAATTAAGTGACTTAATAGATTTATATGACATTGACAATAATGTTTACTCATTATGTGGTATGCATATATTCTAGAAATTGGATAATTTAACCTATGCTATTTGTTGAAGTTTTGATGAATTGAAAAATGAAAAATAGCAATGCTTTTGTTTGGGAACTCAAAATTCTTAGGTAACTAGGATGTGGTCCAATATTGTTGGTATCATTAACCAGTTGCGGTTTAGTTTTTCCTTGTATGAAAACCAAAAAAGAAATCATATGAAATTGAAATACTGAAATGATGGAACTTTATATATATGTTAATTGATTAAGCCAATATATTAAAAAATAAAATTATTATTCTGACTGTTTAAATTTATATATGGAACGTTTCTATATATTTTTTTGTCAAATTTTGTAACGCTGAAAGATTTGTAAAAACAAAACTGTTTATTAAGCCTAATATTACCGATTCAAGTGACAACATAGTTTGTTGAATACCTTACTATATTTTCTTTTTTAAATCAATTATTTTAGAATTTATAATGTTTTGGAAAAAAATTATGAACCAAAAGGCTGGCATTAAATTGTTATTTTTGTTTTACTACCATATCTTATGAAATATATTAGTCTTTTGGGTTAGTATCTAAAAAGTGGTAATAAGAGGAGTTGAACTTTATGTTTGTCTAGATGAAAAAAAAACTCGCATTTACCAAACTAAGCCAAAGACACTTTGATTAATACTTTAAAATGAAGAAGTAATTTTGGTCCCCAATTACCGTGAGGTCTGGGACAGTCGCCCAACCCCCTATTGGGCTGGGCTTATCCAAACACATTCAGGTAGTGGTGCACAAAAAACGGTTTCGGTGCAATCGGTTTTGTTTGAAACGGACCTATCCGTGGGGTTGGACCGGTTTGAAATTCTAGCCATTAAAATCGGTTTGTGATTGGTGTGACAGAAACACCAAACATGCTTTGATGCATAAATATTTTGCATAATAAGCAACTTGGAGGTAAATTTTATTTATAGTTTCTTTTGTAAGCAAGCTTAAAGCACAGGCACCAAAATATATATCAGGACACCAGAAACTCCAAGTGAGGATAAAATGAGGATAAAATGGTCAAATATAAGGAAAACACCCCCCACAGCAATCTCGGCAAACCGGAAAATCCAAGTGATGGTAGTTTTCCCCAACTAACTTTTATGTCCCCTATGTTTTTTAACTTAGCTATTTAAGTGTCTTTTTAAACTTCGTGTTTTGTGTATGTATTGTTTATATTAAAGTAGCTGCAGAAAGCACATTTTTTTTTGGAACAACAGACATCTATTAATAAAGAAACTAGCCAGGGGCTAGGATGAAACAAAAGTTTGAATACAAAAGAGAACAAAAACAAAAACAACAATACAAAAGATCAAATAAGATTACTGCCTACAATAACATTCGAGGATTGGGTCACTGCGCCAATTTATCCACCTTAGATTTTGCCCTCTCCGCTTCCGAGCATTGAGCCATAGATGAGAAAGGACTTGTACCTCATATGACAGCACCGATTTGGATCTCGAAGATTCAGCATGAATCTTCCCGTTTCTGAATCTCCAAATAACCCACAAGTAGCATAGCATTATAGCTTCGTGAAACACCTTCAATCTTTGATGCCCGCCAAGCCGATTTTTACAGTTTAACAACTCTCTACAAGAGCTGGGGGAATGTTCCAGCAACCACCACCAATTGCACACTTGCAGCCAGACTTCTCTTGAGACCGGGCAACCCACAAAGATATGATCTTCCGACTATGGAGCTTCATTACACATTCTACACAAATTAGAAGAGCTTACGCCAATTCTGGAGAGATTCTCCATACATGGAAGTTTTCCGAGATCAACTCGCCAAGCTAGAATATTTAGTTTACCCGGAACCAGAGGGTTCCGTACTCATGCATCGTCACTATGTGGGAGAACTAGATTGTCAATATGTGCTCTTAGCGATGAGATAGTGTATACCTAGATGACTCAAGTGACCAAGTCCATTTTAGAGAGCCATCCACATTTTCTTCCTGCTTAAAGTGGTTTACGAATGACACCTGATCCTTTTCTAACCATATTGGGAGACAAACAATTGACCCCCAACAACCACTTCTTCTTTTTGCTGTCAAATGACGAGAGAAACCACCGTCAGGACCGTGAATAGATTTAATTACCATAGCCCATATACTATCAGGGTTTCTCATGAAGCTCCACGGCCATTTCCCCAACAAAGCGTAATTTTGCGCCTTCAAGCTGCCAATTCCGAGCCCACCCCTTTCTTTAGCTGCTAGGATCTTTTCCCAAGCAATCCAAGCAATTTTTCTAGATTCAGAACAGTCACCCCAAAAAAACCTCATCCGAATCCTTTCAAGGCTTTTGATAACCTTTATTGGAGCTCTATATAGAGGGAAATAAAAGGACCCAAGGATGCTCAGTACAGCCTTGCATAAGGTCAATCGACCCCTATACGATAGTGTGGAGGCTTTCCATCTAGATAATTTCGCCTGGAATCTTTCGATGATAGGCTTCCAGTGAGTTGTTCTAGCTATAGAAGCGCCAATAGGAAGACCTAAGTAAGTAAACGGGAAAGACCCCGTGGAGCAGTTGAAACTTCGGGCCACCAAATCTAACTCGCAGTCCTGTGTACCAACCCCATATAATTTTCATTCTGACATATTTATCTTGAGACCTGATGCCAGTTCGAAACACCTTAGAATTCTGATCAGGTTTTTTGTATTTTCCTTTTACCACTTACCCATAAAAATTACGTCATCGGCATACTGCAAGTGAGAAATTACAGGTCCATTATGGGGCAACTGAATACCTTTGAATAAGCCCTTTTCTTTTGCTGTTTCCATTGCTATGTTCAGTCCTTCGGTTGCAATGATGAATAGGAATGAGGACAACGGGTCCCCCTGCCTTACGCCACGCTCCATACCAAATTCTGTGGTAGCAGACCCATTGATAATCACCGAGATCCTAGCTGATGCTAAACAGTCTTGGATCCATGATCGCCATTTGACCCTAAAGTCCATTTGTTCCATGATTGAGTCCAAGAACTCCCAACTAATGCAATCAAAAGCCTTTTCAAAATCTACTTTAAAAGTGAAAGCTTTCTTCTTATTCCTTTTTAACCAACTGATCACTTCATTTAGGATAAGAGGCCCATCTAGAATATGCATGTTTTTAATGAAAGACGTCTGTGAGGAGCTAACCACAAGATGTACCACCTTTTTTAGACGTTCTGCTAGGACCTTTGATATCAATTTGTACAAACAACCGAATAGGCTAATTGGGCGAAAATCGGTTATTGTGATCGGATCCTGGACCTTCGGGACGAGGGTGATAAAGGATGAGTTGCATCCTTTGTCAATGTGCCCAGTAGCTTCGAAATGTTTCACAACAAGATAAAAATCGCCTCCAATCACGTCCCAATGTTGTTTCAGAAAGGCGAAAGAGAAACCATGCCCTGGAGCCTTATCCGAGCCACATGCACATATGGTTGATTTGATTTCTTCAAAAGATAATGGCTCTTCTAAATACATGATCGCGTAGGGGGGTAGTTTATTGAATTTTGGGTTGAGGAATTTAGGACGCGACTTGATGGGCTCAGCAAATCTCCTAGCGAAATGCTTAGTGAACATCTCTTTTATTGCAACTGGATCGTTTATCCAGAAACCATTCTCCTTTATTCCGTTGATCCTCTAAGTTCTCTGATGCTTATTGATTAAACCATGAAAGAAAGCACTGTTTTCGTCACCATCTAGAGCCCATTTGGCTCTAGATTTTTGTTTTAAATCTTAGATACGCCTGGATTCAAGTTCCATGATTCTTTTATAGGTATTTTGCCGACTTTTCATTTGTTCTTCATTTGCCTGACCCATCTCTGCCAAGAGATCAATGTCATTAAGCTTTTTGGTGAGCTCATCTATCTCCTTTCTAGCCTTTTCGATAGTTTCCTTCCTCCATGCTTTGATATGCTCTTTTAATATTTTCAATTTACCAGTAACAAGTGATAGGGGGGATAACATAAATCTATGCCTTGGGTTGTTGCTAATTGACCATCCTCTTCTTAATATATCCTCAAACCCAGGGTCCTTTAGCCAAGAATTGTAGAACTTGAAAGGGGATGGACCGAAATCAAGATGTGAAGCGGATAGGACAATAGCGCAGTGATCCAAATGAACCCTTGGCAAGGTTGTGACGTTTAGTTTGGCCAGGACTCAAAAGCATTAAGAGAGACAAGAAATCTGTCGAGTTTACTATGCTTATCCCCAGCTGCATTCATGTACGTAGATCTACGACCCCCCATTTTAACTTCTAGTAAACCGAGAGAGTGAATGAATTTATTGAAGTAATATGCACTATTTTGACAAGAAACAGAGCCAAGTCTTTCTTCAGGCATGCGAAGTACATTAAAATCACCAAATACAAACAACAGGATTCCGTGTCTGAATTTAAGAGGTCAGATAATTTATTCCACAGAGCCCGTTTCTTCAATGGTTCTTGTGGGGCATACACGTTTACAAAACAAACATTTTTTCTTGACTTAAGCCATATACCCTTGATGGCGAGAAAACCGTTACCTTTTATTGATTCAGAGACCTTTAAGAGGGAGGGGTCCCATGGAGAAGCGATTCCACCAAAGAAACCCGTGGGGTCAATTACCTCACATTGGAAGTTAGGAGAACCCCAAATTTGCCTATCCAGTTTGTTAGAGTGGGATTGCTTCTTCTTTTTGTCCCCTGTAACGAGAATCAAGACATAAAGTGGGCCATACACAAAAAAAAAAAAAAAAAATCAATCTGACAGTTTTTTCTAAACCTTTTTTACTCGTACAATATGTTGGTCAACCTCGTGAAGTGTTTCATTCATATCACCACAATTAAAATAGCCATAGAAATTGAGATGACTAATAACACTACTGGTAATAACCTTTTGACTTTTATTCCCCATGTGAAAGTGAACCGTGGTTCATAACTGAAACTTCTATCTGTAAAAAAATGATAGGTTTATGTCCTTATATAGATTTTGAATACCTAACATAAAGCGTTTATGAGCACTGTATAAAATTTATTGGTGCTATCTCTAAAATAGCAAGTCCTTAAAACTTCTCCGCAAGAAATTGAGTATTAAATCCAATGTTTTAAAACCCGGGTTTTTAGTTGACCCGGTGTGATGACCGGTTCACGGGTCAACCGGTTCAACCGGTTGAACCGCCGGGTCAACCCGGTTTATAGTCTTTTTCTATTTCTATATATTTTTACTTTCATGCATAATGTATAAACATATAAAACCAATAATTTGATGTCCACAAAGTTTAAACATTGAAAAACATTGAAGAAACCGTAAACGGCTCGTTGTTTTGGCGTTCGCTACTTGTATCCAACTATCCAAAGTCTATTGAAACGGGTCAAACCGGTTTAACCGGTTCAACATAAGCGGTCGAACCGCGGTTTAAGGGAAACCCGGCCGGTTCGATCCGGTTCATATTTTTACAAAAAACCGGTCTCAATCGACCCGCCTTCTGCCCCGGGTCACGGTCCAACCGGTTGAACCGGCCGGGTTGACCCGGGTTTTAAAACATTGATTAAATCACAATTTTCTTGCAACTTTTTATGTGGCGTGGGGGATGGAAAATTTGATGAGCAATCGCTAGCCAATGTTGCCTATTGGACAATAAGAGGGGGAAATAAACGAACCATCTTTTCAAATTTCAACCCATAGATATATAGCAATATTGTAATCTAGCTAGCTAGAAATTAATATACTTTTGCCAAGATGCTTGGTAATTACAAGGCCCAAAAATCTAAGCTTCTAGTAATTGTTTATGATGACAACGCAAAGTAAATCATCTTCTTTCAACAAATTCTGATATATCATGTGTGAGTTCAATGAAGGTCTCTTCTTTGCATGGGAGCGTTAGACCTCCCATAGGATGATCATAGCCAAACTCTTCTTCCGATAGCTTCAGCAAGGTCTGAAACGAAGGATGTTCTAGATATGTTATGGGAATTATAAATCTCTTGTTTGTGCCTTCACCAACATATACTGTGATACAGCCTTTTGGTACGTCAATGGTTGCTGAGGTTGAATGATATCTTGGCATTCCCAGCTTGCCACGCAAGATTTTTGGAAATCTGTGTATGCCCATGATCACAATGAAAAACTAACCTTGAAATTAAAATTAATTTGATGGCAGAGAGCACGGGTTTTGGAGAAAATTTGGGGAGAAGCAAAATAAGTTGAGTTTCCATACAAAACGAATATGGGTATATATAGACATCTAGTTGCTACAAAGTCCATAATGCGAAACTATCAACAGAATCATTTTTCGTGAATTTCTATAAATTTAATTTGGATACTCCGCATCTTATACCTTTTGGTGCATCCAAAGATAAAATATTCCCTTTGGTATCACAGTTATGTTTGCATGCATACAGAAAGTACCATGAATATGAATATTTGAGATAATCTTAGTGTGGTCATTTTGGATTATACCAATTGTACTATACCATACTACTACGTATTCCGTATTAGTATTTAATAATTTTCCAGACCATTTTAACAAAATGTTCCCATGTCACGACAAGAAAGTTGGTTTTTGGCAAACATAGAATTCAAGATAGATAATCTTAGTGTGGTGATCGTATGGGATTAAAACAATTGGACAATGCTTCACCTACATTTATCAAATAGAAAATTTCTGGTTGTAATCGTCTTTTACTTTTGGATGTAACATGTCATCATTAACGTAGTTGCCTATAATCAGGTTATTAATTCTATCAGATGATGACAACCAAATTATATGTCATGCATTCTTTATTTTGGGGAACATGTAGGTCATTGGAGTTTGACCCAATTTCATCTCTTCAACCAGAAGCTCAAGAACTTGAGGCTTCATTCAAAACAAAATTTTGTAAATAGGCCTCTAGCTAGATAAGTAAAATGAAGATGATGAAATTGTTAAATGGAATTTAAGTATATCAAAATCAATAGAGCATATCTATAACCAGATGATACAAGAGATCAAGAATCTAACATTTACGGTTTATCCAATGATAAAATCTTCTTGGCATATCTGCACCCTTGTATTAAGATACTAGGTTAAAACCCGTGGAACCCACGAGTATTAATTTTAAATAGAATTTAAAATTTAATTATGTAATAAAATAATATTTCATTAATTTAAAAAACTTAGGAATCGTAATATTGCATTCTTTAATAACTTTGTGGTTTGTAAGTGTTTAATTACACAATAAATGGTAAGTATTTAATTACAAATGGAGATTTTTAAAATCCTGATTTTTGGTGTATGATTCTCGTTGAATATACGAAAATGATGACACAACAAGGGAGCGAGTGGGAAGATAAAACATTTGTTATTTAGTACTAATTATATCCTACGTTGCTTTCGTGTGTATTTTTCATACATTCTCCTTAAAAGGTTCAATTTTGCCAATACAAACTTGCAACTGTTATTTAGTACTAATTATATATACTAAATTTTTCTAAATTACATGCAACAGGTACCATTTCTATAAAAATATAAAAAAAATTACATTTATAAAATGCCGATCTATAAAGTTTACACAATTTTATAAAATGTGCAGGTGCCTTAACACAATGAAAGATTATAAGTGATAATCTTTATGGAAGCATGTAGGAGAAATTTTTTAGGCTGCAACCCAAGCACAGCAGAAAAAGAAAATTATATACAGCCATTATGACTTATTAAACAAAGTAGATGCAAACACTTCTATAAAATCAAATGTTGATGTCATTGCACAATAAGATACAGATAATGCAGATGAACCGATAGAAACAAAAAGATGAACATAATACAAAATTATAGAGTAAATAAAAACTAACCTTGATGTTATCGTATTTGTTGTTCACGATGAAAGGAATGGCTGAAGACAAAATTTTCTGCAGAAGTAAACCTTGCACTCAGGAAAAATGAGAACTTCAATTTATAACATATATATTTTTTATGGATATCTCTACAAAAAGGTAATGATTAAGGAATTCAAAATTCAAATCCCTGATTGTATGGTATAAATATCCGTGTAATCCCTGTAATTGTGTTAGAGTAAGTACGAAAATTGACAAATTAACAAATATATTGAGATTAGATACCGATTTTAAAGGGATTTGAATTTAAATGATATATAATAACAATAATAACATAATTTGCATAATATATTTACTATTTATTTAATTTATTTTACTGGAAATATCGGCCTATTTTTTAAAATAAGTTAGACATACCTAAACATATCATAATTTAATACGTATATTTGTTAATTATGTTATATTAATTTTATAAAAAATATGAACATCAATAACTTTATTCACAATGGACCCCAGCCCACGCTAAATGAAGTAAACTCAACAACAATATACCCGATCCAATCCAATATACAAAAAATTTACTGATTTACTGATCTAAGCTGAGAAACTAAAAATACAAATAAAAAGGGTAAAATGGTAAACTCACCCTCCCCCAAGTATAACTACACGCTTAAGTAGATCTTCCAAGCTCAAAGCCTCATTCGAGGTTATAGCCAACTCCTAAATTGACACACTCAAAAACAATATAAATTGAAAAAGGGTAAAATGGTCGATTGATCCTCCCCCAAGGACATTGTATTTTGTATGAAAATTTTACCTGTCCAGATATATTTGGACGGCGTGCCAACAATTCTACCCTCTCCTTCAAAAAGTTTGACTCCTCTATTTGTGAGTAGGCGTTTGGTCAAAATTTAACATTTTGATAACACCACGGTTCACTATCATATGCTATTTATGTCGAGTTGAGAACTGAAAAAAAAAAAAAGAAGCGATACAAGCATGAAAGTTGTCATGAAACAGGGGTAAATCAACAAATTCTAAAGTCAAAGACTCACTCTTAGTTGTCTATTGCAGCTTAACCAAAAGCAAACAAATTACTTTTTTATAAAAACAAATTTAGCAATTTACATATGCAGATCAAAGTATGTAATTAGTTCTTACTACCTTTTATGTAATTAGTTATCTTAAATCCTTGTTTCTCTGCTTCTGAGAGAACAATTATATAGAACTTTATATCTGCTGCAGTGATGAGCATAATGATAAGGGTATATTGGGGATAAACAGAAAAATTAATTTGGTTTTACTAACCTGATGTATTGTACTCAAAGAACATACACATAGAAGGAACAACACAGTTTAACTGAAGGACGAAAAGGGCAATTGATGTTAGCTAATTTCACAAATATAATATAGTTAATATGCTAATACCAGATTAAAATGGGAAGATAATGGTATATTGGTCGGCAAAAATCCTTTAAATGTGAAAACATCCTACTTACATATATTTTGAAAGTAGAAAGCTATTTTCTACATACTTTCCAGAAAAAAAAAATTAACAAAAAAATAACTTAAAAATAACTCAAACAGAACATACACATGCTAATATTATTAGAATGTGTTTTCAGTGGATATATGTTTTTAAATAAATATTCCAAATTGATTCAAAGTACAACATCAATAAACATATAATAAAAGTATGATGCTAACAGTTGTAGGAATGGTTCCTATAAATTACAATATACATAAATGGTCCTTGTAAACTAAAAATATATAAATATGGTACATGTACTTAATAATGGTTGAAAGAATGGTCCTTCTCAATGATTTATTTTCTAAATATAAATCAACATATAAGGAAAGTAGGATGGTAACAGTTGTAGGAATGGTCCCTACAAATTATAGTTTACAAAAATGGTACCTGTTGCATGTAATTTAGAAATATTCAGTATATATAGTTAGTACTAAATAACAGTTGCAAGTTTGTATTGGCTAAATTGGTCCTGTTAAGGAGAATGTATGAAAAATACACACGAAAAAAAGTAGGATGTTATTAAAATTATTTTACATGAATTTTCCATAAACACAAACATATAAATTTTAGAGGGTGTTTGTGATTGAATATTTAACTGCATTACTTTATACACAGATACGTACAAAGAGAATGTCATACTTGGTTAAAAAGACGATGACAAAATTGCCTATAAATCACTGAAGGATATTGCCTATACTTTATAAGAGAATCCTAGACAAATTAGGCAATGCTTATTTACGAATGTTTACTTGAAATTGAACTAAGATGAAATACAAGATAATGGATTTAAGAAAACAGAGGAGAAAAACCGCTAAAACTTACATGTTTTTCTTGCAGAAGCCAAGATCAAAGGGCATTATTGAAAGAAATTTTTGAGTTGCTCCCGAATAGAAAAATGATTGTTGGCACTAAGTTATTTATCAGACTCCTTTTGCACTGCCTTGGTGTTACACGTGTCTCTATCTTGCAGGGAAAATCTTGAGAAACGGGGCGGAGCCCAGTTGGATTCAGCGGTTTTACATGATATATTTATACCGCATCAAGGATTCAATTCTGTTGATACATAGAAAGACATCGATTGTTTTCAAAGGAAAAAACCCTAATTCAAATCAGAATCGTACAAAATTTGTCTGAGTGAACCATAATGAAACGTAATTTGCTTATCTAATGATCCATCATAGAAGAACATAAATTCTTAATAAGAAGATATGTGTAGATAATTGTGGTGAAATAGGGTTTAGGTATTCTTACCGACTTGAAAGAGGCGACCTTCGGTCGAAAATATAGTAATGTGATGATCATATCCACCTCCATTTCCACAACTCATGATGATGATGCTCGGATCATTGTTCTTCGGTGAATATTAGTAATGGAGAAGAAGAAAACATCAGAGAATGATAGGATCAGAGATAATCGTAACTTGTAACATCGTAACATAAGGTTTTAGGAGAAGGGCAATGTTGATACTTCACTTTAAAGATTAGAGCGGGAAATATAGATTAGGAGGGGCTTACATAATGACATGTGTAAAAAAAGCTCTTATTTATTAAGATATGGGATATATATATATATATATATATATATATATATATATATATATATATATATATATATATATATATATTGATAATTAAAAATGGTAATAAAACAATATATAAGTTATATTAAATTAATAAGATATAAGCTTTGTTTAAAATTTTATATTGATTATTTATAATTTAAAATTAATATGCATTAGTTTGAATATGCAGTACGAAATGTGATATGCA